ATGATTATGTCGGAGGCTCACCTTTAAGGACCCTAACATTTTTTCAATCCCCTTTTGTAAAAAAATGACAGGATGGATAATAGAACCTTTAAAAAATGGGGGGCCAACCATGAAAAAAACTCTTCAGGTCACTTGTTTTTCTAGGCTGGAATATTGCTGCACTCTAACAGCACCTTTCAAGGCAGGTGAAAATTTTCCGACCTAGAAATTTTACAGAGAACCTTCACGGCGGCATAACGGAGGGTAAAACACTTTAAATTTCTGGGGGCGGCTTGGGGTTTTTAAACCTGTATTTCCCCGGAAAAGCCCGGAGGGGGAGATAAAGATTTTATACACCTGGAAAATCCTAGAGGGGCTAGTACCGAATTGCACCCGAAAAAACGCTCACCTTTCGAAAGCAAAAGACTTGGGGAGGGCGGGTGCACCATCCCCCCAATGAAAAGCAGGGGGGCACTGCACCCTTAAGGAAACCCTACAATAAGTGTCAGGGGGCCCGGGAAAAAAAAGGGAGCTGTTCAACTGTCTCCCAGCTACATAAGGGGGATTTACCAACAGACCCCTGGGAGTCTTCAACGGGACTGGACAAGCACCCCAAAGGGGAGGTTTTCCCGTCAGCCGGGCTGTGGCTCGTAAAGTTGGGTTTTCGTGCCCGCCAGCACCCAAAAACCTGGGGGGGGTTTAGGCGGCTGAAACCACCCGGAGGGCCCGGTCAAAAGACCCCGGGGGCCCGGGGGGCGTTGACCCCCCAAACTCCCCCCAGGGTTACCCCAGGGTCCAGGGGGTTTTTCCCCCTCCTTTATGTTTTTTGGTAAGACACAAAATGCAACAGTTAAAACTTTTTTTCCCAAACTTTCGCCTACACATAGGGTTCTTCCTTCCCCAAAACAGAAATAGGCAGGAAAAGTAGAGATGTAAGACGATGTAATCAGTCCCTCACCCTTGTAGTCGTTTGAATTTGAGGTTGTCAGGGCCCCCCGGCCTGGGGAAAATTTAGTTCCATAGTCAGGAAAATATCTGACATGGAAATGACTATGGAACTGAATTCTCCAGGCCGAGGGGCGGGGCAAAACCCCAAATTCTACGACTACCAAGGGGGATGGATGATTACATCGTCTTCACATTCTTTCTGTTCCTGCCTATTTTTTTTGTATTCGACTGAAAAGCCTACTGTGTAGGGGGGGAAACCCTTTCGGAATAAAGTTTTCTAAATGGTTGGCCCTTTTGTGTCTTTTCCCAACAACCTTTTCGGTTTGTTTTACCATTTTTTATGTTCTCCATCCCCATATTGACATAGACAAGGATGTCAGCCACAACACCGTGTCTTCCTTTGCAGATGACAGTCCTCGATGACGCACTGACTTTCTTGGGTTATCCTGGGTGGCTAACCCTCCGGGGTTAAAAATCCGAACGAAATCTTATCTTATCTTATCTTACCCGAATCTGCATGACAGTGTCTTCCATTGCAGACACTGCAAGGCTCCAGGCGGACATCAACCAAATCTTTCAGTGGGCTGCAGAAAACAATATGAAGTTCAACGATGAGAAATTTCAATTACTACGATATGGTAAACATGAGGAAATTAAAACTTCATCAGAGTACAAAACAAATTCCTTCCACAAAATAGAGCGAAAAACCAACGTCAAAGACCTGGGAGTGATCATGTCGGAGGATCTCACCTTCAAGGACCATAACATTGTATTAATCGCATCTGCTAAAAAAATGACAGGATGGATAATGAGAACCTTCAAAACTAGGGATGCCAAGCCCATGATGACACTCTTCAGGTCGCTTGTTCTATCTAGGCTGGAATATTGCTGCACACTAACAGCACCTTTCAAGGCAGGTGAAATTGCTGACCTAGAAAATGTGCATAACGGAGATAAAACACCTCAATTACTGGGAGCGCTTGAAGTTCCTGAACCTGTACTCCCTGGAACGCAGACGGGAGAGATACATGATTATATACACCTGGAAAATCCTAGAGGGACTAGTACCGAACTTGCACACGAAAATCACTCACAACGAAAGCAAAAGACTCGGCAGACGATGCAACATCCCCCCAATGAAAAGCAGGGGTGTCACTAGAACGTTAAGAGACAATACAATAAGTGTCAGGGGCCCGAAACTGTTCAACTGTCTCCCAGCATACATAAGGGGGATTACCAATAGACCCCTGACTGTCTTCAAGCAGGCACTGGACAAGTACCTAAAGTCGGTACCTGACCAGCCGGGCTGTGGCTCGTACGTTGGATTGCGTGCAGCCAGCAGTAACAGCCTATTTGATCAGGCTCTGATTCACCAGGAGGCCTGGTCACAGACCGGGCCGCGAGGGCGTTGACCCCCGGAACTCTCTCCAGGTAAACAACAATCGACTAACATCCAGGTTACCTACTTACTGTAAGGTGAGCAGGGGCAGCAGGTGTAAGGTAACATGCGTAAGTTTCAGCCGTGCTGGGATCGATCCCCAGGCTCTCAGTGTGTGAGCTGAGGGCGCTACTAACCAAGCCACGAGCACCCAACTATCAAGAAGCACAGTGAAGGAAATTATCGTTGGTTTACTAGTCAGGGAAAAAAATCACCCGATACTGAGCTTTGTCATATATGTCAGGTCAGTACAAGTCGGATCAGTACTACAAGTTGGATCAGAGCATAACTCTGTTAGCTATACTCATCAGGAACTGCAGACGTAGTGCACATTAATAACTTCAACTCGCCCAGACATGATACCGCCCAGAGAAGATGCCATGGAAATTAGTCACTTTGACTTTTTTGGGTTATTATAGGTAATCTACACATATGTTACTATGTATAACTTGTACTTATGTGCAACTGTACCTAAATAAACTTACTACTTTCTGCTACCTCCATTGTCAAACACGTGTGCAACATTCTTTCCAATACCGCATTCCAAGTATCTACCATTGCACCAGATTCACATAATGCCTTGCAAAGACTGCAACCAAACATGCGTGAGTGAAAAGTCCAGAGACCTTCAAACTTACTATGGAAGACCAACACACCAGGAGATTGGACGAGTTGAAGAACACGTCTTTTACATGGAAATTTGCACAACCACTCAAGTATAGAGAGGCAGGATGTTGGAATCATCACTCACTTGCATATACAACAATATTAACAACAACTTCTACAATATAGCCGAACCTCTTGCCAGGAAACTTTATCATTGTCATGTCAATAGTTTAGAAAACCGACAAATTGAAGAATGAGACCTTCGGGTATCTTTGATGAAGAAACGTTTCGCCAGCCAGTGGATTTTTTCAGTCCATTACAGAAAAGACTGGTGAAAGATGACGAAAATGATTACTTCATTCTCCTCATTTTTCACAGTTCTCTGTATTAGACTGAAGAAACCACTGGCTGGCGAAACATTTCTTCAATAAAAACTTCCAAATGTTACACAAGTGTCTTCTTCATTGTTATCCTACGAAGCATGGAAGAGCACTGAGCAAGCTTACTGGCCCATGCTGGGCAGGTCTTTTCTCAAATGTAACCTCTTCTCAGCTGTTAACTTAACATTCCTCATCTGATTCTTCACGTCACTATATCTATCTATCTATCTATCTATATATATATATATATATATATATTATATATATATATATATATATATATATATATATATATTATATATATATATATAATATATATATATATATATATATATTATATATATATATATATATATATATATATATATATATTATATATATATATATATATCCTAGGTAGTAGGTTGGTAGACAGCAACCGCCCAGGGAGGTACTACCGTCCTGCCAAGTGAGTGTAAAACGAAAGCCTGTAATTGTTTTACATGATGGTAGGATTGCTGGTGTCTTTTGTCTGTCTCATAAATATGCAAGATTACAGGTAAGTCTTGCTACTTCTACTTACACTTAGGTCACACTAAACATACATGTACAAGCATATATATACACACCCCTCTGGGTTTTCTTCTATTTTCTTTCTAATTCTTGTTCTTGTTTATTTCCTCTTATCTCCATGGGGAAGTGGAACAGAATTCTTCCTCTGTAAGCCATGCGTGTCGTAAGAGGCGACTAAAATGCCGGGAGCAAGGGGCTAGTAACCCCTTCTCCTGTATATATTACTAAATTTAAAAGGAGAAACTTCAGTTTTTTCTTTTGATGCCACCCCACCTCAGTGGGATACGGCTGGTACGTTGAAAGAAGAAGAAGATATATATATATATATATGTATATATATATATATATATATATATATATATATATATATATATATATATGATATATATATATATATATATATATATATATATATATATATATTATATATATATATATATATATATATATATATTATATATATATATATATATATATATATATATTATATACACATACTCTACATGGGTAGATCTGTTTGTGACTTGATTAAGTGCACAGTATGGGCAAAACGTTGTCCATTGCACTGCATGTGTCTTCAAATATATACGCTGTTCCATTAAATAAGTATCATATAAATATAAATCGTTATTCAAGAAGAACTCTGAAATAAATTAATTCAATAAATATTTCAAAAATTATTAATCTAATTACTATTTCAATTGGATAATCTTAACTAAAAAAAAAAATGCCTCAGGTATTAGTGACGATAAAGTTGACTGACTGAATGACAGACAAGAATAACTGTTTCACGGGTTTATATTAACTATCATTTCTCGAAATTACTTTTTCTGATGTACAATATATGAAGATAATCTAAATAAATGTTTATAATTAACATCCTTATCTCAAGATGGGAAGCTGGTGCCATAATTCCGGACAATATAATAGAGACTTTACACATTATATATACATTGTAAGTTGATATATCGAATATATCATTGTATAAATCAACTATTGAAAATAAATATATATCTAAATGCACCAAATGTTCTCTCAGCTATGAAAGACAAATAATTCAAGAGTTAATTCAACTTTACACTTAGAAAATTAACAATAAACTTTGTCTTGGTTCTTGAACTTAACAGCTTAAATATTTATTGTCGTTTTTACAATTGTGCAGCAAAAAATTCTGCTCTATTTGGCCGTGCCAAAAAAAAAAGAATTCATTAGGCAAATGCTAAAAACTTGTAATAGATATATGAGGGAATATTGAGACGACCAGGAACACTACACGTACTACCAGTGTCATCACCACAACTACCACTATTACTGCAATTAGTAAGTTTATTCGGGTATGAACAAATACAGTTACATATATTATCATACATATCAGCATATATGTAGAGAACCTAGGATAACCCAAAAAGGTCAGACAAAGTGACTTATTTCCATTGGGGTAAGATTTAAGACGTACAACTACCACAATCACCACTATTACTGCAGTAAGATTTAAGATGCAACTACCACAATCACTTTTATTGGAGTAAGATTTAAGACAGCTACTACAGTCCACTATTACTGGAGTAAGATTTAAGACAACTACCACAATCACCACTATTACTGGAGTAAGATTTAAGACAACTACCACAATCACTACTGTTACATAAGAACATAAGAAAGAAGGAACACTGCAGCAGGCCTATTGGCCCATGCGAGGCAGGTCCAAGTCTCCTACTGGCTTAAGCCAATGCCCCAACCTAGTCAGGGCAGGTCACATACACTTAAGGAAGGAACACGACAACTGACCTAGTAGCACAAGCTAGTCAGGTCCAACTCACACCCACTCATGTATTTATCTAACCTATTTTTAAAACTACACAAGGTTTTAGCCTCAATAACTGTACTTGGGAGTTTGTTCCACTCATCCACAACTCTATTACCAAACCAGTGCTTTCCTATATCCTTCCTGAATCTGAATTTTTCCAACTTAAAACCATTGCTACGAGTCCTGTCTAGGCTAGATATTTTCAGCACATTATTTACATCCCCTTTATATATTCCTGTCTTCCATTTATACACCTCAGTCATATTCCCCCTAATTCTACGCCTTTCTAGAGAGTGCAGATTCAGGGACCTCAGTCTATCCTCATAGGGAAGATTTCTGATACATAGGATCAACTTTGTCATCCTCCTTTGTATGTTTTCCAGAGCATTTATATCCATTCTATAATATGGTGACCAAAACTGTGCAGCATAATCTAAATGAGGTCTAACCAAATATATATAGAGTTCAAGAACAACCTGAGGACTCCTATTATTTATGCTTCTTGATATGAAGCCAAGAATTCTGTTAGCTTTATTGCGAACACTTATGCACTGTTGTCTTGGTTTCAGATTACTGCTAACCAGGACTCCTAAATCTTTTTCGCAATCCGTAATATTAAGATCAACATAATTTAGTTTATATGTGGTATGGTTATTTTCCTGTCCAACATTTAGAACTTTGCATTTGTCTTATATTAAACTGCATCTGCCACTTCTCCGACCACTGCATCAGTCTATTAAAATCTTCCTGGAGTGCTCTATGTCCTCGTCAGAATAAATTTGACGGCCTATTTTGGTTTCTTCGGCAAACTTGCTTATGTCGCTCTTTATGCCCTCATCAATGTCGTTTATGTAGATTGTGAACAACAGGGGGCCCAACACTGACCCCTGTGGAACACCGCTCGTGACACTTCCCCACTCTGATTTCTCCCCATTTATGCAAACTCTCTGCTGCCGATTTAAGACACTACCACAATCACCACTATTACTAGAGTAGGATATAAGACAACTACCACAATCACCACTGTTACTGGAATAAGATTTAAGACACAGCTACTGCAATCACCACCATTACTAGAGTAAGAGTTAAGACAGTTACCACAAACACCACTATTACTGGAGTAAGATTTAAGACACAACTACCACTATTACTGGAGTAAGATTTAAGACAATTATCACAATCCTCACTATTACTGCAGTAAGATTTAAGACACTACCACAATCACCACATACTGGAGTAAGATTTAAGACAAAACTACCACAATCACCACTATTACTGAAGTGAGGAGGTCCACGGCTGATATCAAACATATCTTGTGTGTTATAGAGTATTAAATAAGAAGGGATGGAGATGAGGTAGTGTTGATAGCAACACTCACCACAAACACTAGGTGGCCTGGTGGCTAAAGCTCCTGCTTCACAGACGGAGGGGCCGGGTTCGATTCCCGGCGGGTGGAAACATTTCGACACGTTTTCTTACACCTGTTGTCCTGTTCACCTAGCAGCAAATAGGTACCTGGGTGTTAGTCGACTGGTGTGGGTCGCATCCTGGGGGACAAGATTAAGGACCCCAATGGAAATAAGTTAGACAGTCCTCGATGACGCACTGACTTTCTTGGGTTATCCTGGGTGGCTAACCCTCCGGGGTTAAAAATCAGAACGAAATCTTATCTTGTCTTATCTTACTCTTGTGTTATCATATATTACACTGGTGTTCTTTCATGCATTAATATACATATGTATAGTTAACCAGCAACATCTTGAACATCCTTAAGAAAACAGTGATTCATCCATTATGGAGGTGAATAAAAACAGATTTGTAAAGTAAAAGGACACAAGTGCAACTAATGTGACATTTTATTGTGGCAACGTTTCGCTCTCCAGGAGCTTTGTCAAGCCGATACAAACAATATATGGACACAGAGGGTATATAAAGGCTCAGAGTGAGGAGCCTTTATATACCCTCTGTGTCCATATATTGTTTGTATCGGCTTGACAAAGCTCCTGGAGAGCGAAACGTTGCCACAATAAAATGTCACATTAGTTGCACTTGTGTCCTTTTACTTCACATATTGTCGGTAATTCTACCAACATTATTACAAAAACAGACTTGATTTTGTAATTTGCAGTTGGTAGACAGCAACCACCCAGGGAAGTACTACCGTCCTGCCAGATGACTGTGAAACAGAAACCTGTAACTGTTTTGCATGATGGTAGGATTGCTGGTTTCTTTTTCTGTCTCATAAACACGCTAGATAACAGGGATATCTTGCTACTCCTACTTACACTTTGGTCACACTTCACAGACACGCACATGCATATATATATACATACATCTAGGTTTTTCTCCCTTTTTCTAAATAGCTCTTGTTCCTCTTTATTTCTTCTATTGTCCATGGGGAAGTGGAAAAGAATCTTTCCTCCGTAAGCCATGCGTGTCGTATTAGGCGACTAAAATGCCGGGAGCAATGGGCTAGTAACCCCTTCTCCTGTAGACATTTATTAAAAAAGAGAAGAAGAAAAACTTTATAAAACTGGGATGCTTAAATGTGCGTGGATGTAGTGCGGATGACAAGAAACAGATGATTGCTGATGTTATGAATGAAAACAAGTTGGATGTCCTGGCCCTAAGCGAAACAAAGCTGAAGGGGGTAGGGGAGTTTCGGTGGGGGGAAATAAATGGGATTAAATCTGGAGTATCTGAGAGAGTTAGAGCAAAAGAAGGGGTAGCAGTAATGTTGAATGATCAGTTATGGAAGGAGAAAAGAGAATATGAATGTGTAAATTCAAGAATTATGTGGATTAAAGTAAAGGTTGGATGCGAGAAGTGGGTCATAATAAGCGTGTATGCACCTGGAGAAGAGAGGAATGCAGAGGAGAGAGAGAGATTTTGGGAGATGTTAAGTGAATGTATAGGAGCCTTTGAACCAAGTGAGAGAGTAATTGTGGTAGGGGACCTGAATGCTAAAGTAGGAGAAACTTTTAGAGAGGGTGTGGTAGGTAAGTTTGGGGTGCCAGGTGTAAATGATAATGGGAGCCCTTTGATTGAACTTTGTATAGAAAGGGGTTTAGTTATAGGTAATACATATTTTAAGAAAAAGAGGATAAATAAGTATACAAGATATGATGTAGGGCGAAATGACAGTAGTTTGTTGGATTATGTATTGGTAGATAAAAGACTGTTGAGTAGACTTCAGGATGTACATGTTTATAGAGGGGCCACAGATATATCAGATCACTTTCTAGTTGTAGCTACACTGAGAGTAAAAGGTAGATGGGATACAAGGAGAATAGAAGCATCAGGGAAGAGAGAGGTGAAGGTTTATAAACTAAAAGAGGAGGCAGTTAGGGTAAGATATAAACAGCCATTGGAGGATAGATGGGCTAATGAGAGCATAGGCAATGGGGTCGAAGAGGTATGGGGTAGGTTTAAAAATGCAGTGTTAGAGTGTTCAGCAGAAGTTTGTGGTTACAGGAAAGTGGGTGCAGGAGGGAAGAGGAGCGATTGGTGGAATGATGATGTGAAGAGAGTAGTAAGGGAGAAAAAGTTAGCATATGAGAAGTTTTTACAAAGTAGAAGTGATGCAAGGAGGGAAGAGTATATGGAAAAAAAGAGAGAGGTTAAGAGAGTGGTGAAGCAATGTAAAAAGAGAGCAAATGAGAGAGTGGGTGAGATGTTATCAACAAATTTTGTTGAAAATAAGAAAAGTTTTGGAGTGAGATTAACAAGTTAAGAAAGCCTAGAGAACAAATGGATTTGTCAGTTTAAAAATAGGAGAGGAGAGTTATTAAATGGAGAGTTAGAGGTATTGGGAAGATGGAGGGAATATTTTGAGGATTGTTAAATGTTGATGAAGATAGGGAAGCTGTGTTTTCGTGTATAGGGCAAGGAGGAACAACATCTTGTAGGAGTGAGGAAGAGCCAGTTGTAAGTGTGGGGGAAGTTCGTGAGGCAGTAGGTAAAATGAAAGGGGGTAAGGCAGCTGGGATTGATGGGATAAAGATAGAAATGTTAAAAGCAGGTGGGGATATAGTTTTGGAGTGGTTGGTGCAATTATTTAATAAATGTATGGAAGAGGGTAAGGTACCTAGGGATTGGCAGAGAGCATGCATAGTTCCTTTGTATAAAGGCAAAGGGGATAAAAGAGAGTGCAAAAATTATAGGGGGATAAGTCTGTTGAGTATACCTGGCAAAGTGTATGGTAGAGTTATTGAAAGAATTAAGAGTAAGACGGAGAATAGGATAGCAGATGAACAAGGAGGCTTTAGGAAAGGTAGGGGGTGTGTGGACCAGGTGTTTACAGTGAAACATATAAGTGAACAGTATTTAGATAAGGCTAAAGAGGTCTTTGTGGCATTTATGGATTTGGAAAAGGCATATGACAGGGTGGATAGGGGGGCAGTGTGACAGATGTTGCAGGTGTATGGTGTAGGAGGTAGGTTACTGAAAGCAGTGAAGAGTTTTTACGAGGATAGTGAGGCTCAAGTTAGAGTATGTAGGAAAGAGGGAAATT